GAGAGAGAGACAGAGTGATGCGATGGCTCAATGGTTAAAGATGCCCAAGTTCAAGACCCAAGTGTTGAGTGACAGGCTGAGCTTCCATTACTTGCCCCAGCCAGCTCCTCCTCACCTAGCACTTCAGAAACATGCAAATGTGAGTAGATAAACAGGTACCACAGGCAGCATTCTGTGTGCCTCAGCATATAGCCATGCTGGCCACATGACCACAGAAGCGTCTTTGGACAACACTGGCTCCCTCGGCTAAGAAAAATGAGCATTGCTCCCTAGATTCGGACATGACTGGAGAGGGGAAACCTTTACAGACAGACAGACAGACGTAGTCCCTGACTTACAACCATTCATTTTTCGACAGCCGAAATTACAATGGCACTGAAAAAAGTGACTTACAACAGGTCCTTGCATTTATGAACATGGCAGCATCCAATGGTCACGTGATTGCCACCTGTGATCTTCCCAGCCAGCTTCCGACCAGCAAAGCTAAGAAGGGAAGATTCGCTTAGCAACCGCATGGCTCATTTAAGAACTGCAGGGATTCACTTCACAACCAAGGTCTTAAAATTGGGCATCGCACACTTCACCAACACCTGGCTAAGCAATAGAAATTCGAGTCCCAATTGTGCTTTTAAGTTGAGGACTACCTGGAGATAGAAAAACAGACCGAAAGACAGACAAGCTGAGAAAACTATAAGGTTGTGTTCATGAAATCAGCTGAGTGTCTTTCAAAGGAGAATCTCCTCTTTTTATCTTTAAACAAAGAGATGAGCCTGCAGTCCATATGCTACCTTTTGACCTCAATAATTTCTCTGTCTCTCTGTCTGTCTCGCTGTCTCTCTCTGTCTCTGTCTGCCTCTGTCTCGCTGTCCCTCTCTGTCTCTCTCTCTCTCTTTCTGTCTCTGTCTAGTGTGTCTCTCTGTCTCTCTCTCTGCCTCTTTCTGTCTCTGTCTTGCTGTCTCTCGGTGTCTCTCTGTCTCTGTCTCTGTTTCTGTCTCTGCCTCTGTCTCTCCCTGTCTAGTGTGTCTCTACGTCTCTCTCTGTCTCTTTCTGTCTCTGTCTCACTGTCTGTCTCTGTCTCTGTCTCTCTCTCTCTTTCTGTCTCCGTCTGCCTCTGTCTCTCTCTGTCTAGTGTCTCTCTCTGTCTCTGCCTCTCTGTCTCTGTCTCTTTCTCTCTCTGTCTCTTTCTCTCTCTGCCTCTCTGTTTCTTTGTCTCTCTGTCTCTGTCTCTCTCTCTTTCTCTCTCTGTCTCTCTCTGTCTGTCTCTCTCTCTCTCTAGTCTGTCTCTCTGCATCTCTCTCTCTCTCTGTGTGTTTCTCTCTCTGCATATCTATTTGTGTGTATCAGCACAAGGGAGAAAACCCGCAATTAAATGCATATTTGTTTCTGTGCAACTGACGAATTGATTATGTGCCATCCAGTTGATGTTGACTCGTGGTGACCACATAGATTTTCTCCGCAATGATTTCCTTTTCTCTTAGCTTCCCCTAAACCTTCAACTACTATTTTCTCACAAGCAGTGGGGTGGTGTGAAGCTTGTGGAACTCGGAGGGGTTGCTTGTGCAGCTGTAGGAATGTGCTGCGGTTACCAGGAAAATTTGTGGTTTTTTTAAAATCAAGTTTTCACTTGGTTTTTAACATTGCTTTAACATTACTACTGGTTTTGTGGATGTGGCTTGGTGGGCGTGGCATGGCTTGGTGGGTGTGGCTTGGTGGCGTAGCAGGGGAAGGATACTGTAAAATCTCCATTCCCTCCCCACTCCAGGGGAGCTTGGTGAGCGTGGCGGGGGAAGGATACTGCAAAATCTCCATTCCCACCCCACTCTGGGGCCAGGCAGAGGTAGTATTTGCCAGTTCAAATTTCTGCTACCGGTTCTCCAGAACCTGTCAGAACCTGTTGGATTTCACCCCTGGCTTGGTTGACTCTTGCTGGGTGATGATGTAATGAAGGGGCTTTGGGCAATTCCTACTACGGCTCTGCCTGAAGGAGGTAGATCTTTGTTATGTAGAATAGACTGGCCCAGGCCTTAACGGCCCATTAAAGTTTAGTTAGTTTAGTTTAGTTTATTTGATTTGTATACCGCCCTACTCCTGAAGGACTCAGGGCGGTGAACAGCCAACAATAAAATACATAAATACACAAAATTTAAAAACCCGATAAAATCAAATTAAACTTTTTGGCCCAGACAAATTAAAATAACCCAATAATTTAAAAACAGATTAAAATTTACATATTTAAAAAGGGAAGGGAAGGGAAGAGGGAAGGGAAGGGAAGGTGGGGAGGCTGAGTTTCTGCCCCCCTTTTATTATTCTGCCCCTTTAATATTTCCTAAAATATCTCATTTTCCTAGGAGAGGGGTGGCTGCTAACTTCCTACAGATGCATCAGGGTTGTATTTGACCTCGGGCCAGAGGTGGGTTTCAGCAAGTTCTGACCAGTTCTGGAGAAGCGGTAGCGGAAATCTTGAATAGTTCGGAGAACTGGTAGTAAAAATTCTGACTGGCCCCGCCCCCATCTGTTCTCTGTCTCCCGAGTCCCAGCTGATCAGGAGGAAATGGGGACTTTGCAGTATCCTTCCCCTGCCACGCTCACCAAGCTGCACCCACCAAGCCAGACCACGCCCACCAAGCCACGCCCTCAGAACCCTCTCTCTCTCCCTCCCTCCCTCCCTCTCTCTCCCACATGCCTTTTTGCCCAGGACCTCAAAACTACATGGTTCTGTCCACCATTAAACCATCTTTTCAAGTATCTTCCTCCCCACTTGGAACTGAATCCAGACGGACATTTCTTCCAACACGTCCCTCAATGAAATCAAGTTTGGCACCCCTGTCCTAATCGGAAACCTGCCTAGGAAAAAGGCGGCATGTGAATGGAGGCAAGGAAGGGAATAAACACAATTCCCCCCATCCCCTTGAAGTCATGACTCCCATCCCCTGCTTTGCATGTCAGGAACATACTCGCTGCTGCCGTGTTTTAATTTCAGTCTGACCACCAGCTGAATTTGGCTTTTTAGGAAGCGGCATGACATTTAAGGCTTGGGAGTTGAGGCACCCGGGAACAGCCAAAGGAAGAAGCCAGTTGGGCAGGGGTGAAATGCTCCCGGTTTAGACCAGTTTGGCCGTTCCGGTAGCGATGGCAGCCGGTGGTTCGGAGAACCTGTAGCAGTGGCGGTACGAGGCTCCGTTCACCCGCCCGTTTGTCATTACTTCCTGTTTTTAACCAGGAAGTAACCTGTTTTTTACCCTCTGCCCATGTGCAGAAAGGTTTGCGCATGTGCAGAGGGTCCACACGCGTGGGGGACGTGTTCACTTCCGAACCGGTTGGGAAGATAATTAGATTTCACCCCTGCAGTTGGGGCTTAATGAACTCCTTCGAATTCCAGATTTGCTGGCTCAGCTACACTGCCAAGAGATAGCACAAGCGTGGATGTGCGTTTGGCTGCTACCGCTTACCTGAATATGTCAGGGAGAATCGCTCTGCTGACACAGTAATGAGAAATGAGTCTCGGCAAGCCCCTGGCTAGGGAGACGTGGAAAGGAACATCTTCCAAAATCGGGAGAACACTGCAGGGATGTTAAAAGTGTGTCCTGAATTCCTCTTTAATCTCGATACAACAAACAGAAGCAATTAAGGGAGAGAACACAAAGAGGGTGTTGTCCTACCGATGCCCTACTTTTGGCTTCCAAGACAAAACTTAGAAGGAGGATAAGATCCCAGCTGCTTCTCAAGGCGTTCAGCTGTTCCAAACTCAAGGCAGGCATGGAAAGAAAATGCAACACTACGTTGCAATCCTTGACTTACAACCGTTCATTTAGTGACCATTTGAAGAGACGAGGGCATGGAAAAAAAAGTGACGACTCTTGCAGCATCCCCATCAGGGGTGGTATTAGGCTGAAGAGGTTGTAGAAAAAATGCTTTTAAAAGTAAAAAAAAAGCCTCTGATGATCGCGTGGCTCAGCTGGGCATGGGGGTGGGGGCACAGGAATTTTTGCTACTGGTTCTCCGAACCACCCGCCACCATCGCTACCGGATCGGGTGATCCGGTCTGAACCAAGAGCATTTCACCCCTGCTCTGGAGACTCCAGAGTCCGCACATAACTCCCAGATGGCCCCGGCCCCATCTTTGCCTCTGACGCAGAGCCGTCGTCCAAGCCTTTGCCAGACTCCAGGACTGGCCCATGTTCCTCCCCAGCCTCCTCACTATCCAACTCCGCTGCCAGCTCCACAGGCTGCTGGCGGACCACAACAGCTATAGTCTATTTTTATGTGTAATTTCTGGGTTGAGAATTGCGCAACTAAACTGGAAGAAGCAAAGAAGTGGAAACATAATGGTGTTGTACTTAAGCAGTACAAAATTCATTAAAAATACATATAGCTTTCCTCCAAAATGCTTTCACGTATTGAGCATCTTCTTACTAACTCACTACGTACTACTACTAAATCAGGGATGTCAAACTCAAGGCCCGCGGGCCGCATCTGGCCTGAGGGGTGCTTAGTTCTGGCCCATGCAAGGGTTGCAGGAGGCCGTCGCAGCCAAAAACGCAACTTGGGAGCCCGTTTTCACTGGCAGAGCGCTCGGGCCACAAAAGGCACCCTCGACACGAGTGACGTCGAGCTGGCCACGCCCAGCCTGGCCATGCCCCACCCACCCCACCGCAGTCATACACAACCCTGATGCGGCCCTCAATGAAATCGAGTTTGACGCCCCTGTACTAAATCTTATTATTATGGATGCATTGATTCTGTAAGTGCAGTGGTGGCCTACCGACCGACCTTCAGAAAGCTAAAGGACCAGATGACTGCAAAGAAAATACATCCTTCCATTTCCCCACCATTCAGTCAGAACTGAAGAAGCTTCTCAGATGAGAAGTGAAACCTCTTCAAGGAAAAAAAAAAACCAAGAAAGCCCAATTGCCTTTCGAAAAAGTACCCTTGAGATAAGGATTCTAGTATGTCTACAAATAGTTGAGATTTCCAACGTGGACAGAAGATGACTCACCAACCTCAGATCGCTGCGCCTGGGGAAAAGTTTCTTTTTTCCGCTGAAATAGACATCAAATTCATCCACCTTCAAACGATGGGCATAATCAATATAGGCAGAGACCTCCTGGCCGCGGGCATTTCGATCGCGAATGAAGATTATGGACTAGAGAGAAAAGGGAAAAGTGTTATTGTACTCCGGTGTCCGTAAAAAATAGGCTTGCACCGTTTTCGTTGTTTCTTTGCAAAAATCAGGATTTCAGTCCTTCCATCATTCTGGTTTCCGTTAAAGACGGCACCACTAACGGCAGCCTCGGTGAAATGCTCTGCAGTAGTTCTGATGTTTTCTTAGACACAAAACTAGTTCAACTCTGCTGAACTCTTAATTCCCATAGCACTGTCTCATTTCTGAACTTTTATCATCCTCTCATCTTTTCCACTATCTTCTTGAATGGGTTTCTTATGATTTATCAATTACAGATTAACAGAGTTGGAAGGGACCTTGTAGGTCATCTAATCCACCACCACCACCACCCCGGCCCAAGCAGGAAACCATACAACATTTCTGATGATTAATGATTGTAACTATGATTTATAATCTACGACCTATTACTTGCTGTTTATGTACACTGCGAGTTTATGCACTGGAGACAAATTCCTTGTATGTTCAATCACACTTGGCCAATAAAGGATTGTTCTGTTCTGTATTTTATTCTATATTTTGTTCTGTTCTGTTCTGTTCTGTTCTGTTCTGTTCTGTTCTGTTCTGTTCTGTTCTATTCTATTCTATTCTATTCTATTCTATTCTATTCTATTCTATTCTATTCTATTCTATTCTATTCCATTCCATTCCATTCCATTCTATTCCATTCCATTCCATTCCATTCTACTCACTATCCTATCCTATCCTATCCTATCCTATCCTATCCTATCCTATCCTGATCCCATTTGTATGTGCTGCGAAGTAATTTTAACGGGATTTTCCCTGGAAGAAGAGTAAGTAGCATGGCAGACTTCCTCTGGGGGAAAAAAAAAACCATCTCCATGTCTCAGAGTGTAAACCACAACAGTGTTTCTCAATTTTAAGAGCTGTGGATGCCAACTCTCAGAATTCCCTAGCCAGCAGTGCTCGCATCACAATTCTTCCTTGAATTCTTAAAGTGCTCTCAAGTGCCAATTCCCGTTTAAAAGGGATCTTAGTCATATTGCAGGTCACTGCTGTTGCATTGTGCTATTGTCGTTCATGAAACGGCTGGAATCCTGGAGCAGGATGAGGCAAAAATTCTCACCAAAGAGAACTTCGATGACCCCCCCACTCTGTCAAGGACCTTGGAGTACTCATCTCTAAAGATCTAAGTGCCAGAGCCCACTGTAACAACATTGCAGGAGCTGAGGCATGTGTACGGGGGCTCACGCATATGAGAGCAGGTGGGGTGCTTGAGGGCGGCTGCACGTGCATGTCAGGGGTGGGTTCTAAAATTTTTTACTACCGGTTCTGTGGGCGTGGCTTATTTTGTGGGCATGGCTTGATGGTCATGTGACAATTCTTTAGGATTTAGCAGAGGTACTGGTCTACCAGGCTTTTAACTGCTTGCAGAGCTGTACCGGTCTACGCATTTGTTTTTGGAGGCCCCGGTCTACTCATTTGTTTTTGGAGGCACCGGTCTACCACCACACTGCCTTTTAACACTGATCAGCTGTAGGGCGGCCCTTTGAAGCCCTGCGGCAAGATTTTAAACAGTTTTTTTCCTTCTAGCCGATCAGCTGGGACTCAGGAGGCAGCAATAGATTGGGGGTGGAGCCAAATAAAAGGTAAGAATAACGCGGGGGGCGGGGCGGGGCAGGGGTGGGTTCTAATTTTTTTTACTACCGGTTCTGTGGGCGTGGTTTATTTTGTGGGTGGGCTTGGAGGTCATGTGACTAGGTGGGCGTGGCTAGCTGGTCAGAGTCATTTCTGGAAGGTCCTCGCACGTACGACCAAGTCCTCGCACTTATGACCTGACTCATTTGTTTGCTTTTAACACTGATCAGCTGTAGGACAGCCCTTTGAAGCTACGTGGCAAGAGTTTAAACAGTTTTTTTCCCTCTAGTCATCAGCTGGGATTCAGGAGGCAGCAATAGATTGGGGGTGGGACCAAATAAAAGGTAAGAATAACATGGGTGGGGGGGGGGGGGGGGGGGGGGGGGGGGAAGAACTGGTTTGGTGACGTCATATCGTCACCGCTACCGGCTCCGCCGAACCGGACCGAACCAGGAGGAACCCACCACTGGCGCGGGGGAAACCACTTTGGTGACGTCATATTGTCACCACTACCAGCTCGGCCGAACCGGGCCAAACCGGGAGGAACCCACCACTGGTGCATGTGCAGGGGGTGGGCCACATGTGCGGGGATCATGCACGCATTGCATTTTGGGGGTTCGGGCACATACTTTGGGTATTCAGTCCGGAAAAGGTTAACCATCACTGGTATAGGGTCTCCTGCTTGAGCAGGGGGCTGGACTAGAAGACCTCCAAGGTCCCTTCCAGCTGTATTCTATTCTGATTCTGATTCATGACTCTTTTTTTTTTCATAGTTTGCCTAAATAGTTCTTGTCATTCTGCATTCTAGGTATTATTATCAGGAAGAGGCAAAATTGAAAGGCATATTGAATATGAGCAAGGAGGAGCCCCTGTTGAGGTCATAAAAAGAAGAATTACACAGGTCTTTTCTATTTACCAGCATGAAAAAAAGACAGAAGGTTCCTATCAAAACAACTGCCAATCAATCAATCAATCAATCAATCAATCAATGAGATTCTAGATTCAAAACCCAGCAATGTCTCTTCCTCTCCAACTGCTGCATGAATTCTTTCAAAAGCATAAAATCCGAGCTGTTATAAAATCATTTTTGCCGGGCACAGAAAAGTATTTTCCCTTCATGGGTCAGAACAGAAGTACGTAACGTATTATGAGGAGTTAAACATCATGCTATAAATCCATGAACCGTTGATTGATTCATAGTATCCTTTTCTAAAAAGAAGAAATTAACAATAACCATCCTAAATTACGTGGGATGTTCCTGATGTTTTAAAAAGCGAGCAAAGCAGGTGCTGTCTTATGTACATCATAAAGGACATCTTTCAATCACCCTATGATTATAAAATTAATTTCCTAAAGCAGGTGCTTTCACACAGACCTGCCATGTGGAAAATGACAACTTTTTGCAGCTCTACAAGGAACAGTGGTGGTATTCAGCAGGCGGACCAGGGGTGAAATGCTCCCGGTTCGGACCGGATTGCCCGATCCGGTAGCGATGGAGGCGGGTGGTTCGGAGAACCGGTAGCAAAAATCCCTGCCCCCCCTCCCCATTGTCCAGCTGAGCCATGCAATCATCAGAGGCTTTTTTTTTAATTTTTAAAAGCATTTTTTCTACAACCTCTTCGGCCAAAGAGGTTATAGAAAAAATGCTTTTAAAAGTAAAAACAATGCCGATCAGGCAAGTCAGCTAGGATCGTCAGAGGCTTAAAAAAAAAGAAAAACCCTCTGCTGATCAGGCAAGTCAGCTGCGATCGTCAGAGGCTTTAAAAGCATTTTTTTAACAACCTCTTCAGCCAATGAGGTTGTAGAAAAATGGTTTTAAAAGTAAAAAAAACAAAGGTGGCCACTCCCACTCAGTCTTATTAACACCCCCCCCACCAAGCCACACCCACAGAACCGGTAGTAACAAAATTTACATTTCACCACTGAGGTGAACTGGTAGTGGCGACCTGCGGATGCCCCCCCATCCCCGCCCCAGCGCTATGCCGTCCTATTTAGCTACGCTTTCTAAGCCGCATGCATGCATGCAAGCCATGCGTGTGAGCAAAGCGAATCCGCGGAAAGCCGGGTGCATCTGCGGAAGGCATGCGTGTGCTCACATTTTCGGTGCGCAGCGAACCGGTAGTAAAATTATGTGGAACCCACCTCTGACAAGGAAGTAGTCAGGATGTCTGGTGGTGTTGTTTTTTTTTAAAAAAAACAGCTTCATACACCTAATCAAAAATATCTGGAAGACGCCCCCCTCACAAAAAAATAATTTCTTTTTTCTTTTTTTGCTTTTGATCAAGTGTCACCTGTCAGCATTCATCTCCATTTTCTCCCTCTTTCCAAAAATTCCTTTAGCGGTACTTAAAAGGCTTTCATTCATAAAACGAACAAGTGTGCTGGATAGCTATTCTTAAGATGTTCTATCAGTTTTTTCAGTTTTACCGCACCTTTTTGCCTCAGAGAACGTAGGCTTGGCGGGAGGTGATTAAACATTTTCTCCCTTAACATGATAACACAGCAAGTAACTGTGTTCATACTAATAATGAATGTGAGTTTCACAGGATGATCTCAAGGGCGTGTCTACTACATGGGCATGTTAAGGTGATAAGAGAATGCAGGTATCTTCAACCTGGCTCGGTCCAGATGTTTCGGGAATTCAGCTCCAAGAATTTCTAACCAGCATGACAGAGTGGTTATCACCAATCTTTGGGTTGGCCTTTTTCATATACTGTACAATCGGGGCTGAACAGAGCTTATACTAAAAGCATAGTAAAAAATGAGAGAAAGCACGTGCCTCAGATAGAAAGTCCATACAGAGAGTGGTAAGGACAGCAGAGAAGATTATAGGAAGCTCACTTCCCGTTGTTCAGGATACCGCTTATAAACGCTATGTGCTTAGAGCTCAAAGGATTGTTAGAGACCCCACACACCCATTTCACGGTCTGTTTCTGTTGCTCCCCTCTGGGAGGAGGTTTTGAAGTATTTCTAGCAGGACTACCAGAGTCTGTAACAGCTTCGTTCCCTTATGCCATCCGTCTGGTAAACTCACAACTTTCATTTTTCTTGCCATGTATAGTAGTGGCCAAAATTGTGGAAATCTTTTGGGGAAAGTGTATTTTTGAGGTTTGATGGCTAATAACACCTTTTTTTTGTGTGTGTGTGGAGTAGTACCGTAAAATTATAAATCAATGGAAAGATAATTTAATCAAGAATGTAATGCTTTTCAACCTTTGTTTGAGAGATTTTTTTTCCTAAAAAGAGCCTGGTGGCACAGCAGACTAATAGCCTGTTATTATCATCCAGCTGCCTGCAATTACTGCTAGTTCGAATCTCTCCAAGGCTCAAGGTTGACTCAGCCTTCCATCCTTTCTAAGGTAGGT